GGACTCGTCCCTGTCAGCAGCCACTAACAGAGCAAAAGCCGCCTCAAAAGACTAATTTATTCCTCACCAGGACGGTTCTGCCAGCATCAGCTCTGGTGCTTGGGCCCCTCCGGGGCAGGAGGGCCTGGCCAGGCCCAGGGCCCTGCCACCACAGGGAGCCCGCGCCGCCGCCCTCCCTGCCTGGCTGCTTCTCCTCGCCCGTGAGGGGTGTGCTCTGGCTGCCCCCAGAATTTTCACCACAAGCAGCGCGGCGTACAGGCATTCATTTCTGGAAGCCTCCGCCAGGCACTGCGATGGGCCTGGCAGGGGGTAAACTGGTACCGGGCTCTCTGATCACCTTCGTCCTCTAGTGTAGATATATGTAGATAGAGCAGCAAAGACGTGCCAGGGCACCTCCAGAGAGGTTCAGCCTCCTTCCCTTCCCAAGCAGGTGAATGTGGTTGTCTGTGTTCTACAGAGCAGGAAAATGAGGTGCAGAAGGAGGAAGAAAAAGAGGAGGAGGATGAGGGCTGGCTGGGGGGTCAGAAGCTGAGTCACCAGTAACCCACAGGATCTCAGTCATCCTCTCTGTCTGCTCTGACCATCTAGAAGATCCTTCAGATTGCTTTGCTGGAGGCAAGCCCAGCTGTATCGCCAAGAGCACACACCAGCTCCAGGGTTTTTCTGCACTGGTTCGTTGTGTTCCCACCAAAAGTCAGCCCGTCAGGGTGAGGGGATGCGACTGCAGCCCTCCCAAACCCATGGCCGTGAAAACAAGCCCAGGAGACATTCGTGATTGTATGTTTTGTCCTCCTGTCCCGGCCCCTGGGGTCTGCACGTTCATGTTTTGGTGCATGATCACCCGTGCTGAGCACCGACACGCTCGTGGCACTGACATGCTGGTGGGCCTCTGGGAAGCCGCAAATACCAGAATGGTGAGAAAAGAGTAAAAGGTAAGAAGGAACTTGGTAATTCATCCCACTGGAAGGGGCAAAAAGCCAGGGCACGTCCTCCCGCTCCCCCGGCTCCCGGCAGGCTCCCCATGGGTGGGTGGCGGGGCTGTGCTGGGCCTTGCTTTGACTGGCAAGTCTCCTTGTCTGTCACGCCGAGAGCCCTCCTCTTTAGGAGGGATTTAAGGGGCTTTCTATGGCTATAGACTACAAGGACAAATAGCACCCCCAAACCCCAGAGCTCAGTTATGAAGCTGCTCGTGGGGAGAAGATGGAAAGAGAGATTTCGGTCTAAAGCAGATGAGCTGAGCTGAAGGCATTGCTCCATCCTTCCCACCAGACAGGCAAAAAAATGTAATCGGCGGAGGTGAAAAGCTGAGCAGCCTGCCAGCACTGGCACCCTGCAACCTGCACAGGCTCCCACCACTTCGGGCATCTCTTCCTCTCCCTCTTTGCCTCCTGCAAGATTTAAGCCTTTCGTTTGCAATCTCAACTCCTGACAGTCCTTGTCAATAAATGAGGTGAGCATCCTCTTCTGTCTCTCTCTCTTTGTGCGGGAGGACTCGGAGCACAAGCCGCGATGTAGGGCATGCGCTGAGGCGGAGGGGAGGAAGGTGCTCTGCGCGGGGAGCAAAATGGCCAAAAGATGCATTTCGAAGCTGACGGTGGGAAGGGATTTGAGAGGCGTGAAATGAGATTGCAGGGAGAGAAGGGGAGATGGTAGCCTCGCAGCGGCACGGCATTGCTTGCGCTTAAATGACCCTGTTATATTCAGCATGCTTTGAGCGCAGGGTGATAAAAAGCTGCCCGGTGATAAAACTTAAGGAACGGCTTCTGTTGTGATGCAATTGCAGTAAATGATTGCTGGCTCTGACTGAAGACCTGCTGTTGCTATGTGCGTGTCAAATCTGCTCGGATTTTCGGTTGGAGATCGAGGGGGCACCTGCACGCATCGCTGCCCGGCGGAGGGGGCAGGGTTTGCTTCTTCTCCTGCCTCCTTGCAATGGTTTCTTCCAGCTTGCTGCTGGAGGACGTTTGCTGCCGGAGGAATCCAGCCGGCTTTTCTGCGGCTATGCGGTGGGAGCAGGGGCGATCCCCTTGGAAATCCAGGAGGTTTGGGAAAGGGAGGGGGTTAAGCTGGATTTCGGTGGCGGAGGTCAGGCACAGGTTACTCCGCTGTGCATTGCATAATCTTTTGTTTCTCAAGGTCTTCTTCCTTCCTAAAGGGAGACGT